TTGGTGACTCTAGCACTTATTATATACCAAAATTGCCCTAAAAACAGGATATCAATATCGATTTTTATCGATTACTTGAAAACGGGGAAAGTTATCGATTATCGGAAACAAACTCGATCTGCGCAGGAGCACCTACATATAAAATTTCTAGTCTCTAGCTATTGTAGGTTCTGATATTCATACATACGTACGGACGGACGGCTATTGATGCTGATCAAGAATATATATACGCTATGGGGTGAGAGATGCTTCATTCGGCCTGCAGAAATACAATATACCCTTTTTACCCATTTTCAATGGGTTCAGGGTATTAAAATACTCAACAATTATTGCCCGGCGAGTTATGATCTAATCGAGATATGGCACGATATAAACAAATCTGGCAGAAACGCAAACGATATGGAAATCCTATCCCACCCCAACACTCCCCCCCCCCCCCCATGTTATATTCTTGGAAAGTTTTATAGTGAAAAGAACACACACAAATACCCAGAACTTGGGCGCATTGTGGCTGCCTGCCTGGCTAACGGTAAATAAAACACTTGTTTTAATTGCGGGCGTATGGGCGTGGCACATACATATACATACATATATTTATATAGTTCTAGCTGGCGTATTCTATAATTAGGCAGTGGGCACAACTAATTGATTTATATCAAAAACCAACTGAGAGCAGGAAGACAGACAGCTAGAGGGAGAGAGAAAGAGAGAGAGAGAGAAAATCTTTCTATTCCTTCAACCCCCCCCCCCCCATCCGCCGCAGAGTGTAAAATAATAGAATGATTTAACAATTAAAGCAATTCAACTATTAAGATAAAAAATGACGGGGCAACAATAAAAAAAAAATTAAAAAAACTGTGGGCAAATTCTAAGACAATATTTACATACCTGGCATCCACATAAGGCACTGGCAAATATACGTTTTTGTATTTAATCTATATCGTTGGGCAATTTCCAACAAATATTTGTATGCCCTTTAAAAGCAACAAAAACAATTGTATTTATTTGTACAATTATTTGGAATTGTTTAACTTCCTTCAGACAATACAAATTGGTCCGTTCGCAGCAAAAGTTGCTGGCGTTTTGCGAGTCGTACAAGCTGAATGAAAACAAGAAAGTTAGTTTTGGTCGAAACGCACACACCGACCCGCGACTACCCTAACCGCAGAACGTGAAGCAAATGCTGGCAATTAAAAAAAAAAATGTTAAGAGTACTTATCAACTGTTCACATTTAGTTTTGTGTATTTCACTCTAATCAATTGTTGTTGTCTCGCACAAACAATATTAAATAGTTGATAGGCCAGCGGCTGTGCATTTAGCAACAATAACAAAACATCTGCTGCCATAGCAATTGAATGTGAGAGAGCGAGCGAGAGAGTGATGTTAGGAGCATGCGCTCGCTGCGTTAACATTTGCCCAACAGCTGTTAGGCAGCTGTTATCGATTGGCACGTGGCGCTCCCTGTTAAGCGAGCAGGCAATAACATTTATCGAACGACAACTGTTATCGAACGGCATTTGGCGCGCCAAGTGGGCAAATTCAAATAGTAGGCGTGTAAATTGTAAGGCATTTGGAACGTATGCGAGAACATGCTCAGTATTTAGCGTGTTACACAATCAGTCGCACGAAACAAATGCTTGTCATCAAATATATATATATATATATTTATATACACAACTGAAAAAGTATTGAACAGAACATACAAAATAGAAACTAATCAAGATGTTGCGCATACCAGGCATGCCCCTACTGCCGGGCACTCTCTTCCGTGAAGTAAGTACCAACTAATCAAATATCTTTATCTTTCTTCTCTTTATATCTTATCTGCTTATCTGCTTATCCGACCAATCGATAGGTTAATAAAGTGTACTATCCAAAATCGCAAACGTTGCTCAACTTTCGTGGCATACCGATGCTCAGCGATCGCCAGCATCCGATGCCCGTGGATCCTGCCGGTGCTGTTGTCGACATTAGCTGCCCGCCGGCAACTGCGCATGCGCTATATCCGCCCCGTTCGGGGCCACGCCTACCGCCGTGGCTGGCCTACGACAAGAAGGTGCTCAGCTTTCGCGCCTATTTCAAACAGACACTGCAGGAAAACTTCCACGCCCCGTATATGGTGCGGCATGTGAAAATCTATTACTATCTGGAGGACGGAACGCTCGAGATACACGAACCGAAGGTCGAGAACTCGGGCATTGTGCAGGGCTGTGTTCTGCATCGACAGCGTGTGCCCAAGCCGCCGCCCTGCGAGAACGAATCGCTCTCCATAATCGATCTCAACGTGGATAAGACGGTGCTGATCTTTGATCGCAACTATCACATTGTCGACTGCGATCGCTTCACGCGCAATTTTCTCAACAAGCGCGGCATTGTGGTGCCGGATCCGGTGATGGCCGCCATGTGAGTGGGAATCCATATATAGATATATGTATATATTCATTTGAACCATTTTGCAGCGATCCTGCCGAGGCAGTGCGCAAACGTGGCCAGGCACGCGCCAGCAATCCGCCGGAGAAGCGTCATCCGTTTGCCCAGTTTCTCAAGTACGATCGCCAGATACTCAAGTTCCAAGCCTACTGGGACGATCGCACCGACATGGGCGATGTGCGCAAGCTCGAGGTCTGCTACTATCTGGCGGATGACACCATCGAGGTGAAGGAGGCTCACATACGCAACTCGGGACGCGACGGACCGACCGTCTTTCTCAAGCGCGGACGCTTGCAGCGCGTAAATAATCCCGATCACTGATCACCCGTTCACTCGATCACACTCAATCACTTTCTTCGCAGGAGTTCGATGGGATGCTGTTGCCGGGCCAGCAGACGCCCGTGACGCTGCTGAATGTGCTCGGCTCCTCCCGGAATGTGCGCTACTGCATCGATCCGCTCAATCTGGGCAGCAAGGAGATTCTATATTATAGTCAACGCGATTTGCAAATCGGCAGCGTGCTCAACGTATACGGCCGGGCGGTGGTCATCACCGACATGGATCCGTTTACCAAGCAATATTATCGAGATCATTACGGTATCGCTGAGTTTACGCCAATTCCGATGCCGACCCGATCGGATGTGTGCAAGCCGTACGACAAGTCTGGACGCATGCTGCCGCCGTTTAATGGCTGGGGCAGCTATGAGGACTCCGCCGGTAATTGCATGTCCATTGTGATCAAGCGGCCCAAAACGGATTTCCGGAAATTCATCAAATTCGATCGCTATGTGCTGCGCTTCGGCGCCAAGATGCTCTCCACCATACGGGAGAACTGCGAACGGATTTTCGTGATCAGCTACTATATGAGCGACGATACCATGCAGGTGCAAGAGATAGCGGTGCGCAATTCCGGTTTCCTGGGCGGCGTATTCATGAAACGGACGCGTGTCCTCATGCCCGGCCAGGAGAAGTTCTCGTGCAAACAGCCGCAGTATTATAGGCCGTGCAATTTCTTTATTGGCGGCACCATGTCCATCAAGGATTTCATTTTCCATCTGGTATCCGCAGATGAGTTCACATTGATGTACATGGAACATCATCCGGAACAGTTTCCACACTGCAACATCGAGCTCATCCTGGAGAAGGTGCGTAAGGCCCTGGAGCCGCGCATGGCACAGTTTGTCTCAACCTGTGTGCCCGACTGCACGGATCTGGAGAAGAAAATGGAGAAGCGCACCGTTTTCGTGTCATTCGAGAGCCTGAAGGGCGCCTTGGTTGCACTGATGGGCAACACGATCAGCGATCATGAGATCATCTCGCTGTGCCGTCACTTTTCCGGGGAACAGGCGCCGCCGAATGCTTGCGCCCGGGACAAGGTGCGTGCCTCGGCCCATTTGGAGATCAAGCGTTCGCTGTGGAATGGCCGGGATGAGCTGATGGAGCACTTCCATCACATCAATCCGACCAATAAGCCATTCCTGCCGGAGGCCCAGGTGCGCTCCACGCTGCGCGGTTTTCGCATGCCCTTCACCCTCGAGCTGATCGATAACATATTGTCTGTGCTGAATCGCAACGATTGCGATGATATCGAAGTGTGCGACCTGATGAACTTCATCGATGTATCCTGCACCAAGGGCTGCGATATGCCGCCCATCAACTATGCCTTCGAGCTGTGCCCCAAGCTGCCATTCCAGTACAAGGGACGCGTTGTGGACTTTGGCTGCTTCCTCAAAGCCCTCAATCTGCCCCTCAACCTGCCCAGCAGCAATGCCCAGCCGACCAATATGATCGGCGATGCCCGAATATTGCCACCCTCAGACATAGCCGATTGTTGAACCGATCTTCGATCCTCGATCCGTGATCCTTGATCCTTGTTCTGTGATCCTCGATCTCTGATCCTCGATCAACACGCTGCTCAGTGAAGGGAGGCCGACTAATGTGTTCTCGTCTCAATTTAATATGTTATGCAGTTACACATTCCAGCTATAGTCGTAGTTAGATCGAAATTTCTTGTGCCACATGCATCGACTTTAGCGGACAATCTCAGACATTAGGAACTATCGTGGTGTAGCGTACGTAGAATATACCCAGAGAAAACACAAGCATCAGACGTCCAAATATATTTTAAATACCGACAAAAAAAAAAACAATATGTAAAAACAAATTAATAAAAGCGTATAGAAGTTAGAATTTAAGCATCTATCGTTGTGAACTCCCTTGGAATATTACTCCACACGAAATCCTGAGCGGAAATGCCTGGCCAATAGGCTAGAGGTTAAATACTGCCATGATCTTAAGGTAGGCTATCTTAGTCCTCCAAATGAAATGCTTTCTTACGAATTCCTCAGCTAATCATCTTTGCTTTGTAGTTTTCAGTTCAAATACCTCGATCCATAACTGGGCAATGCCTAGTCGGAGCTGCGGTTTAGGCCATTCCTAGCAGGTAAACATTCTTTCTACGTTTCCAAGAAACTACGCATGAAAACCTTTCCTCAATGGTGACTACCAAAGTTAAACCACTTGCCTTTAAATCTTTTAGCTACTTTGGGTAACATCCTTTTTCCATATTCCTAAGGAATAAGCTTGGGAGAAAGCGCTCTTCAGTTATTGATGATAGGAAATCTTTGGCTAGGCAATCGGGTAAGTCTTATGCTGTACTTAGTTGGGCATAACCAGCCTGTCCTAAGATCCTAAGGCTTTAGGGTATCTGTAGTGGTCCTGTTTGTATAATCCTAGCTCATTCTCTCGACGACCCATATCTAATATGACTCAGGGTAGAAGTCTCCACGAGCCTACTCAAGCCCCTTCCCAGTTCCGTAAATAATTCGCTTTGCAAATTGGGTTTTGCAATAAAAAAAAACTAGGATATTTTAATTAAATAATAGCTTACAATACGAAAAATTGTCGCATATCAAGGGGGGCAGGATGGGGAGAATCCATTTGATGTTGTCAAAAATGCAGCTAGTCGTATTTTTTTCTTTAGCCATAATGTGTTTAAAAGCTATTAAACATTTATTACTTTTACATCAGTTTATGCTTAAGAAATGTCGGAAAGAGTTAAGAGTTAAAGTTGTTTTTTTTTTTTTTTTTTTTTTTTTTTGTTTGCTTTTGCCTTGCCCCAAAGTGGATTTGAATTTTCATTGTTTAGTTAGATAAGTTAGCAACTTGTCTTAATTATTTCGGGTATATATATATATATTTATTGAAAGCCAAATGAGTTTACAAAAATTTTACTGAATAACTGTTTAAATTAAAATTGGTCGCATATACACATATATATATATTTTTTTTTAGTTTTCATTGCGATTGGCTTAAGTACTGCACTTAAAATTAATTAAACATTTAAAACAGATTAAAAAAAAAAAAAAGAATTTGGTTTATCAAAAGTGAAAAATCAAAAATCATACCGTGAGATGTGCTAAACTAAAGGATATCCAGATAAAATATATAAATGAAATAATAGTAGAAAAGAACAAAAAAAAAAAAGTACACTACAATTGAAAGCCGAAGGTGATTATTTATATTGTTGCTCTTGCTCTTGTTGTTGTTGTAGCTGCTGCAGTTTGTGTTATTTATTTATATTTTTTTTTTTTTGGGGAAAATGTTAATCAGCGCCATATTATTTACTATATCGAGTATGTGCATTTAATTTAAATTTAAATTTTGTGTTTATTGTTACAAATGGGTATATAGGATAATGCAAATGTGATTACAATCGAAATGTAGTGAAGTCGTGAGATTAGGCGATTCATCATCAAAGTTAAGCGGGCCCCCAAAAGTTGTTTCGCTGGGCTGGACAGTTGTTGTTGTTCTTGTTGTTGCATCGTGTCAACTCGTTACTCGTTGCTCGTCACTGGCTACTCGTCACACGTCGCTTGCAACTCGTTACTAGCTACTTGCTACTCGTTACTCGCTACTTGTCACCCACTTGTCGTTAGTCGCTACTCGTCCCTCGCTACATGTCACTCACTACGCGTTACTCGCAATTCGTCACTCGCCACTTGCCACTCGCTACTTGCAACTCGCTAAATGTCACTAGCTACTTGCTACTCGGTACTCGCCACTCGTCACTGATTTGATTTGCTTGTCCTGCCATTCCGAACCATGCGCTTTTACAATTTTGGCTAACCCCTAATCCACAAACTGATGCTGCTGCTGCTGCTTAGATCTCATCGATATCTATCTCGTCGCCATCCTCTTCGTCCATGGCGTTCTTCTTGTTGACAGCGGCAACGGCGGCACTGACAGCGGCTACCTTAAGGGGTTCGACCCGAGCACGATCATCATATTCGATTTCCACATCCGAATCACCGCCAGCATTATTGTCCTCGTCAGACGAGGAGTCCTCCTCCTCGGCATCCTTGAGCCATTGGACAAACGGTTCCACTCTCTCGTGTATTTCGGTCGCAATCTTCTTCGAAACATGACGCTTGCTCACCTTTTGGGCCCATTCCAGTATCACCTTCTCGTCGAGTATGTCCAAGTCATAAAAGATCTTAAAGATGCCGGCCACCTTGCTCATCAGCGTGTTAGCATGCAGCTCCACGGTCTGCTCGATGCCGCCAATCAGATAGCGCTGACCCTTCGGATTGTTATGGGTGAAGCGCAGCAGTAGAATGCGATTCTTGCGCACATCGTGTATGATGTTCTCCGTGAAGAGCAGTTCGGCCAGCACCAGCGGCGCCTTGTTCACAATATCCAATCGCTCGGCCTCAATCAGCAGCTCCTTGTGCGTGGGCACATCATCCAGCTGCTTATTGTCGCGCTTGTTCTTCACCAGCTCATAGAAGATGTCGATACGTTCCTTTTCTGTCTTGTCGTAGTCATCCGAAATGGTCATACCCTTTGCGCCATCGGTCAGGTCCTGCAAACGTGCACGGATCGCTTCCTGTAAATGCAAAAACAAATGTTGAAATACAAACGAAATTCCATGTTAACTACAACAGTCTCTCGCCAATAGAAACACACACACGGTAAAAGGCATGTTAACAAGCTGTTAAGCAAAGATTATTAGATTCAAATTAGCCCCTTTGTACTCATATACGAGTATGTCATACAAATTTTACTTACGTTAATATAGCATAATTAAAGCAGCTTTAGAAACTGCAAGAATAAAAACAAATAGCAAGCTGACAAACAGCTATTGCTAATTGATAACAGAAATGTGATACCAGCCAAGTTTAAGCTGGTATTATATCTGTTAATGCTAAAATACTTTTATGTTTAGCTGATATTACAGCTGTTAATGCTACATAATTTTCATGTTAAGCGTGTATTGCAGCTGTTAGTGCTAAAATACTGTTATGTTAAGGTCGCATACACTGTTAGGCAATCCCTTTGCGCTGTTAAGCTGTTAACTGTTAAGCAACTCTTAATGATAGGCAATGTTAACAGAATGTTTATTTTGGTTAGACTGAGCTTTATCTATGTGGTTAATTTTAGTCGAAGCCCATAGCTCACCTTGGAAACATCAACGCTCCAGCCGCCATCGTCATCGTCCTCGGTAATGCTCTTCTCCGGTATGGCGGCGCTGATCTCGGCCTCGGTCTGGCTGGCATGATTGGTGCCATTGCCGCCATCTGATTCGCCGCCGGAATTGTTGGCCATTGAGTTGTTGGACATGGAACCATCAGAATTCTCGTTCTTCTGCTTCTGGACACGCTTGGAACGCTTGCCCTCGGTCAGGGAGGAGCCCTGTGCGGCCGGATTCAATGATGGTGGATTCTTCACAATGTACGTGTTGACTTTATGGTTGACCTTGAGCAGACCATGAAAGCCACAGGCCTTGCACGATTGCGAGATGGTCTGGTTCTTGGCCGAGACGGTCAAATTGGTCTCCGGATTATCGCATTCGGGACACAGCACAAATTTGCGTATGAAGCCATCGAGCAGATCCTGCAGCTTGTTAACATCATGCGACCCATTCACAATGAAACGTTCGTTCTGCGATTCAAAAGGAAAACATATGTTAATATGAAATTATATAAGGGTAAATTAGCTAGGACTAAGGTGGAAGCTACTTATCGATGCATGGAAACGAGAAAATGGGTGGAAAGCAATTGAGTGTGATATGTAATAGGATCGGTTTGTTGTACCTTATGATCGAACTGCGTTTGGGCGCCCAGTTCACAGCCAAAGTACTTGGTCGGATAGGTGGCCGGGCGGCCGATGGCGCGCGCCACTTCGGCCATGTTGACCAGGACCGTTTTGATGCCGTTGCCCTTGCCCTCGACCTTGGCCTGTAGACGCGGCATCTTGTAGCGATAGAAGATGTCCGTTACGCTGCGGTTCACATTGACGGTCGCCATTTTGCAGCTGTACAGTTAATGCCTTTTCCGGTTCCGTTGATGCTTGTTGCCTGATTTGATTTGATTGGTTTTGTTTTGATTTTGTTGTTTCTATGTTTTCCTCCTCCAGTTGACTTTAACCGTGGATGGATGTGTGTGTGCTGGCGGCGATTGGGAGAGGGTTAGGTTAAGGGGGGCGGGGGATACTCTTTCAGCGATCCGGGAGTGAAAGGATCGATCGGTTAATTCCAATTGTCTATGGTGGTTTGTGCGGCTGGCAGCGCCAATTTGTTGACTTTAGCGGCTAACTTGCAGTTGCTTTGCGCCTCGTTTCCGTTCATTAAATTTGCTTTTGGCTCAACCTGCTCTTCTTTTGGATCGCTTTGATCTCTGTCTCTCTATCTCTCTCGCTCTTTCCCTCTCTCTCTCTCTCTTTCTCTCTCTCTTTTCTCTCTCTCTCTATCTATCTCTCTCTATCACTGAAACGGGGACGAGTCTTATAGAGAATCAGCTAGTTGTTGTGGTTATGCTTGCTGCTGTTGGCTGTTGCCGCCAATTCCGTTTCCGCTTCGGATTTCGACTGCAAATTCACTTCCACTGGGCATCGACTCGTGCATCCAAAACGTGGGCAACACAGTTAGCAGTTTTTTCTGTATGTTTTGTTTATGATTTGGGAACCTCTTTGTATAGAGTTTCTCTGGGTTTCCAGTCTTCCTCCACTCCTCCACGTCTCTAAGCGGATTTGGATTTGTGGTTTTTTTTTTGCCTATGTTTTTATCTTAATGTTTTTTTTTTTTTTTTTTGTTTTCTGTATAGTTGTGATTCTTTCTGCCGTCTCCTATCCCCTTCTATTCGTTTGTAGTGCGGGCTTTACTGTATAGTATATGCTGTCTATATATCTGGCATAGTCTTAGCTATTGGTGTTTTTTTTTTTGTTGGTTTTTTTTTGTTTTTGATTTTTTTGGATTTTTGTGTTTTTTTTTTTTGTTGTATGTTTAATAAAAAACTATTGGAACGGTACAATGGTTGGCTCACGTGTACCTGAACGGCTGTAACTTCCGATGTCTGTTACTTGAAGTCCTGCAAAATGCAGAAAATACCATCGATTAGTGTGATAAGAGCTGTAACAGTGTTTAACAGCTTAAGCTGTTAGCTTATCAGATTTAAGCTAACATTTGGAGCACCAGCTGTTAGTGCGCAACAGTTTAATGTTAACAGTACAGTACACAAACTGTAGTTAACAGCGCTGATGTTAAGTGGGAGCACAAAATAACATATGTTAAGTTAATTTCAATATGCGACAACAAATATTAACACTATGGCTATGTTATCTGTAGTTTAACATGATTATGTTAACTGAAGCTTTAGATGATTCACGCTAAGACTAAATTCATAAGCCGGCCTGGGCTGCGTATCCCGGCTCCCTTAGGCAACTTATTTATCGTGAACTAAAACGTTTAAGTATATTTACGTTTAGTATAGAGAGGCGAATGGACTGTAGCTAACAGCAATGTGTTTTACAGACAAGACAAATGTTAAGGCGCGTGTTAAATTAGTTTTAAAGCTGTCTTCCAGCTTATGTTAAATGCATTTCTCATTAATATGGCGAAGTGTGACTTGCAACAGACAAGCGCTGTAAAAACGCAATGTTAGGTGAATTTCAACTTGATTTATATGCTAATTTCAGGCATAATTGCGTGCTTAAAGTGTTCAAGGCAAACACACACGCACAGATACAGCTACTAATCAATAGCAGCTGCGCGTCCTGTGTGCACGTGTGACCTATTTCACAGAGCCGTGACCGCCAAGCGTAATTAGATGGGACATACTTACTATATAGTATAATATAGACTATAGCTTACCGATGACTTATAGTTCGCCTCTTTGAATTCATGCACAGTTCGAAGCCTTTACTCCGTTTTTGTGGAATTGGAGGTGCGCCTTTTTTTGCTGGTGTTTCTGCAAATATTCAAAGAAAATCGATTAGTATATGAAGGCAGATGTGTCTAATACAAGAAGCTGGATCGATCAGAATGTAAGATGCATGTATATATATTTATATATATATATATATATATATATATACTTGGTGTCGACCTGTTGGCTTACCCACATAGGTATACAGTTAGGCCAGCTTTCGGAACGGTGCATAGCAAGTAAACATTGGTAACCCACTTCGACACAAATAAGGACACTGGACAACTGGACAAATCGCAATTGTTGCTGTTTGCTGATTGAATCTTGCTTGATCTTCGATTTGTTTGGATGTTGGTGGGATTGTTATAGGTTGGGGGGGGGGGATGGATGATGTTAGGGGCTAGAACGATCGATCGGTTGCTCGCTCTTACGCCAGCCTTTCAATGCCGCCTCATCGAGAGCTTAACGAACTGCTAGCATCGGCTCCCTCTTCTTCTTTTTATACGCAGTAATTTTGAAGCAAAGCTTAACCAAAAGTTAGACCACATCAAAAATATTGTTAACGCTTCGCTATCTAGTCGAAATGTATATAAATAAATATATATATATATATATATATGGCTATATATATATATATAAATATATATATATATATAAATATATATATATATATGTTTTATATATAATAATATTTGAATAAAGTTATCTTGATTTCACGGCCAATTTGAATTGCATTTGCATTTGCATTTCTTGTTCATCAACGGGCAAGAGAGACAGAGAGAAGTATGTGCCAGTCACTGCAAGTTTGAGATTTACACTGAGAATTTCGCTGTTTATATATCGAATAATTTCAAAATTGAATGCCTGGAATGAGTTTTCTATAGCTGCTACTCTCAACCAAGCCTCTTAATGACAGCTTTGTCAAAAATCTGATTATTTCTTACAAAAATAAAATGAAAACACAGTGCCTAATCGATTCAACGGCAAAAATGTTCCTACTCCAAAAAAAAAATAGAAATATAAAATATATACATTTCACCTCTCAAATGCACATGGTTAAAATATACAAGTGTTTATACTTGCAGAGAATAGTTAATTTTATATCGAGAAAGTTGAAATTGCTCAACTAAACGCGGAGCTATTCGATCAGCCAGACACAGGCGAGTCGAATTAACAGCAAATGTTACACTGGATCTTCCATATGTGAACTTAACAGCAGCATAGTTGCATTCCTTAACTATTCTGTTATTTGAGCAATAGCAATCTTTCGCTATGTTAATTAACAGTTAACGAAACTAAAATTGTTTCAATTGATATCACTTTACCAACTTCTTTGGACTATTTCCACAGTTGAACAATATTTGAAAAATTTGTTAGTTTTGAAATTCCAAAACAGCTCAACAGTAGCCGAGACGCGCTCTTTAACTACTCTGTTAGCCGATTATTGAAGAACTGATTGAAGCAACTAAGCAACGAAGAAGAGTGCAACACGAGCAAGAACGGAAACTCACCACAGAGCTGCTCGGCTCTCTCGCTCTATGTAAATGTAGGAGTCGGGGAGGGTGTGGGTGTTGGGTGGTTGAGTGGTTGGTGGAAAAGGGTTTCAACTGTTGTGTGTTGAAAAACTGTGAACTCACCGCTGAGGCTGAGGTCATAGGTAATGGCCACAGTATGTCGCTGGATGGTTAAATCGCACAGCATATGATGCAGCTCGCTTTTATGATTCGTTGTCACGAGCAGGAGCTGAACGAGCGCGGCCAGAAATTGCAATGGCAATGGCAACGTCCACGTCAACGTCAACGACAACTTCGATTGCTTGGGCGGCGTCAGGTTGATGTCGTTTACCCAGGCAGTTGGCACACACACCACAGTGGCTAACAGGATCTTTTTCTTGTTAACAGTTCTGTTTGCACTCTCTGCAAATCTGTTAATGTTATTCTTGCAGTTACAGTGGGTCACACTGTTACTGGCACGATTACGGTTACGGTAACGGTTATGTTTACGTTTACGGTTACTGTTATTACTGCTGTTATTGTTGCTGTTGGCTGCAATTGTTTTCGTTATGTTCTGTTTTTGATATGCCAGCGATTTGAAGTTGTTGGTTATTTGTATGCAATTGGTATCGTTATCGTTATCGATGTTGTTATCGGTATCGGTATCGGTATCGTCACGTTGCAAGCGACACGTTGACATCAACGTTAGATCGGTCCGACGGGGCAACACGAAATTAGGAAAATAACAACGATAAAGAGTAGTTGGCATTAATGGACAAAATAAATAACACCAAGATTCAACACACGTGTCAAAGCGTGTGCCAATGGTGGGAAAGAGACAACAAACAACGAAAAAAAAAAAAAAAAACACGACAAAGTGTTTTGTGTGTGTGTGTGTGCGCGTGTGTGTGTGCGCGCGAGCGAATGCGAGGCCCCGAGTTCGACCTCGACCTGAACAATACCCTTTAATCGATCTGAACGATCAATTCTGTTGTTGTTGCTGTAGTTCTTTTAGTTCTTGAAGGATGCTGTTGTGCTGCTGCTGCTGCTGCTGCTGCCGCTTCGTCGATATCGATAAATTGGTTTATCGTTATGCGTTTCATCGATGGTTTTTTGATAATTCGCGCCGTGTGTCCCGTGTGTTTTACTCTTAACTGTGTATTTTCTGCTCTTCTGCTGATTTATTGGACCAAATTTGGTGTGTCACATTTGAAAAACTATATATATAATAAATGATGCTATGCAATTGAATTGATTGGAAAAAATATGAAAACTCAATGTAAACCAAACCAAAATCGAAACTCAAATACATATGGCATATACATATATCTGGCAAACGCACACACAAACACACACATGTATATATATATATATATATATATATATTAAATGAAAGGCAGCAACAATTACAACAACAACAGCTAGGACTCCATTTCACACACACACACACACACACACACAGCTAGTCGCTCGAAAAATCCAATAATTACAATGCCAATTGGCACGGACAACGGTCTTTATTTCTCTTGTGCCAAATTTTCGACTACGTCTATTTGGGGGCGTGGCGATTAGATATATATATATAATATATAATTGTTGCAGCTGCTTTAAATACAATTTTATGCTGGTTTTCCCAGACAAAATGCGTGGAAAATTTTTCACGTAACGCGAACAAGTTGTGGGAAAAGAAAAGTCGAAAACTTGCTCGATGGGCTTAACGCTGACGAATAAACTGGCTGACTGACTGACTGACTGACTGTTGACTCGGCGATGCTGAGAGAGCACAAGTCCTGCAAGTGCCTGTCACTGTGTGTGTGTGTGTGTGTGACATGCTCCTGGCGGGGATGGAACATAGCACACACGAGCAGCAGCAGCAGCTCCGGCTTGACTGCGCATGTGCCATGGCCCTGCAACAACAAAACAGATGTTTGAAAGAAACCCACCAACCCACCACCTGCCCACACACACACACACACTAAAATTAAATGCAACTCTGCGGCGCATTTGAGGTCAATTTAAGCATATGTTAGGCGCCAGCGAAGCGACGTATTTGCAAATTATGTTTTTTTTTTCCAATTTGTTTTTGTTTTTTTTTTGGGTCAGCCGCAAAGTAGGCAGCAACAAAACGCTCAAGAAAACAAACGAAAAATAGCCGAAATGTCAGCAGCAGAAACAATAACAGCGCAACAACAGCGTAACTGCAGGTCACGCAATGTGCAACGTGACGAACTGAGAGAGACAGAGAGAGCGCGAGAGAGAGTGAGTGAGAGGGGCGGGGAGGGGGAGTGAGAGCAAAAGAGCGTGGGCGCACGCAATGTAAACTGCAAAAGACGTGCGTGCGTGCAAGCGAGAACGAAAGCCTCAGCAACAGCAACAGCGAAAGCTGCTGTTGCTGCACTCTGAACAGCTGCGAGCGAGAGAGAGAGAGAGAGAGGGAGACGGCAGGCGATAAAACGTGACTGCGCTGCTGGCTGCTGCTGCTGCACTGTAAACAGCTGAGAGCAAGAGAGCAGCATTTCTGTGGAAGCTGAGCGTGTCACTTGCAGTACAAATAAATGAACTGGAGCTGAACTTGCAATTGGCAGGCACTGCTCAACCCTTGTATACCCTGGAAACACGCGCACGCAAGTAATCAATAGTATTATTTTGCATGATTTATGAATTGCTATGAATTGATTTTGGGAGAGTCGAAATGTAAGAAATGCTTTTGAATGAAAATATGTGACAAATTTGAACATAAGTTAATTGAAATTTTGCTAAATGCAAATCTATAAACTTATATAAATATTAGGATAATATACTATCATTATATCTTCTAAAATTCTAAACGCGGGCCACTGGTTTGAACCGGCAACTGAACCAGCGATTTCTCTTTGCTAACAAACAAATACTGAGACGCACAAATAGTTATGTATATTAATTTCTGGAATGATTTAACGTAGTTTATCTTCATAATTTGGTAGAAACTTGCCTGAAAAAATATCTTCAATCGATTTATGGGCTCTTCTCTTTGCATTTTAAGCTAATTGTTGTTGTTTAATTTGAAGTCTTAAGTCTTCACAAATTCGCAGTCAATTATGAACAATTTAGGGATTTTTGTCGAAATCTCAGAAATTCTAAAGAGATTTGTTTAAAAACTTTAGTTTGAAATGCGTCAATGGGCAATTAAATTAAAGAAATTTGTTAAAGGGATTCCCATTTGGGGCATCAATAGACAAGACTTTAATGAAGCACAAGTAACTAGGGGGGGGGGGGGGGGGGGGGGGCTCTCTCTTTGCCACGCGTTGCCCTTTAACTATGTATTGAATAAGCATGAAGAGTCTTTTGCTTTTTATTTCTCTTCATTTCTAGAATCGCATGACAAATGCAATTTGCGATGGCAAAATAAATTTACACACGTATAATATACAGCTTTTATGTGTAACTATATCTATATATGTATATGTATATGTATATGTATATGTATATATATATAAATATATATGTATATATGATTGTGCACATTAATGAGCAATTGTTGGAGCAGATTTCTCGTTATCGCGCGTTTCTTTTTGCGAGATTGAAGGCGAATCGTGTATCGTATATATTCAATTAAAATGAAATCAAAGATACTTAATTATATTGCCTTACAGAATTTCACGGAAATCAATTAATTTTCCTTAACAAGTGCAAATGCAACAACAAGAAGAAGAAGCAGCATCATCCACGGCGAATGCAACCCCAGTCGCATAATTCGAGAAAATCTTTGCGGATTTACGTCGACAAATGTGGCTGGGGGTTCGTTTTGCGTAAACAGATGTCGCTGCGTGGGCAGGAGGGGGAAGGTGAGAGGGGGAAGGTTGCCGCGTGCCTCGCCTTTTCCTTTTTTTTTTTTTTTTTTTTTTTAGCAGCAACAACAACAACAAACGTTAGGTAAGTGCGTCAATAAAATATGTTGCACAACGTGACAACGCAACAAAACGTTGCCAGAAGCTACGAAGAAAAAGTAGCTTTAAATAGGTTTTAAATTATCCAAAACTCTTGAGTTTACAGCGAAAAAGTAGCTAGAAATCGCTTTAAAATGATCAATTATTCTTAAAGACACAAAGAAAAAGTAGCTAGAAATAGCTCCAAAAATACAACTAGAAATAGCTTTAAAATGATCCAAAATTCTTAGAATGAAAAAGTAGCCAGAAATAGCTTTAAAATATCTTCAAAGATTTAGTTGCAAAACAACTAAATCTAGCTTTAAACAAGCCGACAAGGGAATACCCTAAATACTCTTCTACCAACAATCAATAGTTATAAAAGAAAAATGACTTGATTTGATTTCAATTTAGTAGCTACATGTCAAGTTTTGTGAATCCAGCACAGATTTGCTCAGAAATCACGTTATCGATAACGATTTTTATCGATTGCTCGCAAATGTAGCAAGTTATCGACTAAGGGAAACCAACTCGTACTCAACTAAGTCTCTAGCTCTCTCATAGTTTCTGAGATCCTTGCATTCAAACATTCGAACGGACAAGTAGAGGGATAGACTAATAGACGGCCTGGATCGACTCGTCTATTCCTGCTGATCAGGAATATAGTATATATGCTTCCCTTCTTTGCACAAATACAGTGAACCCTTCTTTTTTTACGCATTTCCATTGGGTTGAGGCTATAAAAACTAGGAAAAATAAGGCGTCTCGCTGAACGCGACAAAGAAACAAAGGGAGGGGCAGCAACTTGAACAACAAGTGGCACAGCCTGTTAACTGGCAACAGAAAGTGAAAGACATAAACACAATTGAAATGCCTCAAGGTGTACCGTGAAACCTGGCTAAAGCAAACGTCTACATTTCTGTGCCTTTTTTTTGTGGCCAAGGGGAATTGTAAGCTTGAAATAAAACGAATTTACGTTCTTTCATAACTATTCAAAAAATCAAAATAAAAACGTTTTCAACCGATTTCTCTAGTAACTAGTATGTTATATAAAGTACATAAGATATTGCCTAGCACAGTGAAACTCGTAAATGCAAAAATCTTTACACAGGATAGACTACTGAGCCTATGGCAGCAATAATATTACGATACTTATAATATCCTCTGCCCTCCAACAATTATCGCAACGCTACAAGTTGATTTCATGTCAATTTGCTGATCTGTCCGTTGTTAGAGGCTCTACTGTATTTAAACGCAGGCAGTTTGTTAATTGTCCGTTCTGGTGCTCTGCGCATTTAGGTTGGTTTCACTGTGCGAACACAAGAAATGCCGAATAGATCGCAAGCGAATGCGACCTAGAGCGAGGGATTTGCAGTCGAAAACTGTGGCATGTGCTGATGATACCCTCGGCGCGGCGCGTGCTGTGCGGGGCTGTTCGACCAATGCCATAAACTGGTTTTTTTTTTTCTTCTTCACTTTTATCAGTGCTTTTGTTATTGTTTTGAGTGCGCGCTTGCAAAATGGCAAACAAGAAACAGAAGACGAAAAAAAAAAACCCACAAAGCGAAATAAACAAAAACAAGTTGGATTTGAAGTACCCAAGTACTGCTGAACTACATAGATATCCTGTACGAAATAGAGTTTCACGAAGCATACAAAATAAACAAACAATAGCATCTCTATCGAAAGTGCATGACTAGTAGATACTCTAGACTCCATATGACATTCAGATATGCACATCTGTAATATATTCTAGATCAAATCCGATATAAATTAGTTTCAAGTCAGCCAGATCTGTATTCATGCAATTTTAATGGGTATTAAAGCCAAAATAGTCTGCTATAAAATTCAAATGGAATTGGTAGCCAAACTGGCCATTTAGAAGGGTGCCGCGGCATGGCGAGGGTGTGGGAGGAGGGGGCGAGGGGACAGGGCCATTTCGAGCAAAATATAATAATAACAATTGCGGTTGGTTCCACTCCGAACATACGATTAACAGCGCGCTGTTAATTAACAGTAGCAAAAAAAATGTATGTCTGTGTGTGTGTGTGTGTCAATCGGTTACGGCATGCGAACATTAAGCTTAACAGACTACAACAACAGTAACACACACGCACACACACATATATATATATATATATAGAGAGAGACAGGCCTGTGTGCGTGTGTGGGAGAAGAAATGAAAGAAATGTACACGTCGCATGATAATGATGTTCACGTTCATGATCTTCAATTGCGTAGGCGATGCGCAAGAAAAGACTGGAACATTTTTCTATTATTGTTGCTGGAAAATGCCACAGATTTCGTTTGGCTCATTAAACAGAAAATATATATGTACATATAAAAGAAAATTTGTAAAACAAATATGAAAGAGGCTTTCTAATTAAAATGAAATAAAGCCTGCAAGTGCAGCACACACGCCCACACACACACACACACACACACACGCACACAGTTGATGTTTATAAATAGTTCCAGCATATGCCAAGGCGAATAAAAACCTTGAGCCATGCGATCGAGATAAATATATATAAGCAAATAGTTCCGATTACGGAATCAAGTGCAGTATACAGATAAACATATGTTATATATATATATATGGAAAATTCCAGGTATAAGCATCTGATAGTCGTATGCTTGTACTATAAAGTAAATAGGGTTTGAATCAATTTAAATTCGCCATAAATTGACTTTTGTTCGGGCAACAAAAGGAGGAGGCAGCTGTCATAAGTAAAGAGCCCAGATTAAGGCGAAGCTACAGTGATGGCAAAACTAGTAGGTATGCCTCTTAGCAGTTTATAAGATTCAAAAAGGAATTCCATTTCGTTGTAATTTATATATATAGATATTAATCATTTTTTGATTAGCAATTAAAACTTAAAGACAATACTTTGTTTTGGGCCCTGCTTGATCCTGATTGACACTTTGCTCCGTTAGCTGGTCTAAGCAAGCCCTTAGCAGAGGACGTGCCTGTTCAGACAGACTTGCATAACTTAATTTACTATACTTGGCTTAACAATATAATAGTCGGTATTAATAATAGTATATGGATGTGTGTGTATATATACATGCATCTCGTGTGCTGGGGCCAATTGAAGGTACTTACCACTTAATCTTTCAAAAGTCATATAAGATATTATGTTTCCCCTGCTTGGGGTGCGCAATGCAATCTCACGAATTAGATAAGGAAGTGTATGAAGAAAATCTTCTCTCCTCTCAACACACGTTTCAAATTCTCAACGTTTCGATTTGAGGCTTTTGGGTCTCTCTGTCTCTCTCTCTCTCTTTCGTCCACACAGATGCCTGCTCGCTTTTGTTTTGATTGGGTTCGATGATATATAAAAATATATATACGATGATATATATATATATATTGAAAGGTTTATATATGCTGGTTAAACGTTATTGTTTATTGTGCCTTTGTTTTTCTTCTTTCTTTTTTTTTGCCACGTGAGAATTTTCCGCAACTGTAAATAATCGGTTCGCGTTTTGCGATGGCCGCTGGCAGCGCTAAACCACGCGAATTGCTTTTGGTTAATTGTTGTTGTTTGCTTGTGCAGCTGCTGCAAAGACTCTGCAATGAAATTGAAATATATGTATATTATATACTTGTTTGTTTACGCTCATCAAAATCAAAATCAAAATACAACAACAAATATTTTCGACTGCATTGCAATTAATGATGCAAAAATGCTAAACAATATGCAAATGTTAATGGCCAAATGTTAATGCCCAATACAACAGGGGGCATTCCTCAGCTGTTAACTTGCTGTTGTCTTTCTTTCAGTGTGCGTGCGCGAGTTTGCGCATGTGAGTGTGTGTATGTGTGTGACTCGATCAATTTGTTGTTGTTGTTGCTTTACGAACAACGAAATGAAACGAAACGTGCGCAGTAAACTAAAAATATAAAAACGTTTGGGATATTCCTCTACGAAATAATACTTAAAAACGGTTTGCAAAATCACGCACACATACATAGACAAAACGGCAATATTTATGCGTGTGTTTCGTGTATTTGCGAAATTATTATTGACTCGTTATCTTTACAGATAGTTCACTTGCCACTTGCTTAGGGGAAAAAGTTAAAAAGTCGACAAGATATATCGCCAACAGTGCACGTAATTTTAATTTGTAGTGCACACACACACACACACACACACACATACACTCACTAGCGCACACACACATGTGCATGCACAACGAAAGCAGCCACGCCATTTAACCTTTTATTTTTTTGAGGTTGTGTCTGCCACTCTGCATTCATATTTTTACCTTTGTTTATATATCGCAAACAAATACAGATCTTCAATACAATGATTGCATAGAACGTTGGCTTTTATATACGGGTTTATAATGCGAATTGCAACTGATTTTCCACGGAGATACGACGACAAACTGCTGTGCACTATTAGTGATGTACAGAAAGTAACAAACTATCGATAGATCAGTTCAAAAACTTTAGTTTTGAAATCATCGCTTAACATATAACGATGTATCGCATAGGGATCGGCATCAAATGTTGTGTTATTCGATAGCAATCATTAAGAATATTGAAATCAATAGTAATTGTTCAAAAATAGTAAAAAACTACAGTTTATAATTTAACTAGGCATCTTTGGAAGGGATTCTATTTGGTAAACATCAGCAACTTAGTTATCTAGAAGTATGTCGCAAGTTATTTTCAAATGATTCACAATAGACATGTAAGATATCACAAGAGGTAAACATTAATCGAAATGATCATGTACCGATCATGCTCAAGCACTGCGTGCTGTTTGAAATTAATTTAATTTAATATAAATAAATTATATGCGGCAAATGAATGCTAGGGAGAGATAAATCAAAAGGTTTTCGGCAGCATGGCTGCTGCGTCGAGGATCAGCATTGCCCATTGGTCGGGTCGATTGTTATTGTTTTTGCCGCCAGATGATGCAAAGTGTGACCGTGCAAGCGTAGGATATAAATCCTGAGCCTAAGACTCGTTTAGTAAATGCAAACTGATTGTTTATTTACATAGAGTAAGTTTAAAATTACAAATTATAAGCCTAGCCAAAGCGATTATAGCCAAACCCTCTGACTAATTGTAAGCGCCATATGTTCCACCTATAGCTACATTTAGGTATTGCAATTGTTGTCAAGTATCGATACTCTGTATTCATTTGCGATACTTGCGGCATGGTCGCCGGCAGCGTGTTGTCATATGGTTTAAAAAACAGAATATTTCTGATTGTTTGCTGAGAAATAAACACGCTGTTGCATTAAATTGACGCCATGCCCAAGGAGCAGTTTCGCGCCTCGGCGCTAAACAAGAAAATGTAAGTAGCTGCCAATTGGGATACAATTGCAAATGGTAATCGTTTTTACGTTTTGCATTTTGCGGGCACAGCTCACATGTGCAGTTCGGCATTAGCGGCGCGGATGAGATCCAGCAGGAGTCGCTGGTGCGCATCATATCAAAGAATCTGTACCAGGCACAGCGGCAGCCGGTGCCCTATGGCGTCCTGGATCGCCGCATGGGCATCAGCACAAAGGATGCGCTATGCGAGACGTGCGGCCAGGGCCTGAACGAGTGCATCGGGCATTTTGGCTATTTGGATTTGGCCCTGCCCGTCTTTCATATTGGACACTTTCGGTCCACCATCAATATACTGCAAATGATATGCAAGACGTGCGCACATGTTATGCTGAAGGCTGAGGATCGTGCCGTATTTGAGAAGAAGCTGCACAATCCGAATTTCTCGTATTTGGGCAAGAAGGCGCTGCACTCGCAGATGCTGGCCAAGGCCAAGAAGGTGACCAAATGCCCGCATTGCGGTGCAGCTAATGGTGGCGTCAAAAAAGGACCCGGTCTACTCAAAATCCTACACGATCCGTACAAGGGGCGCAAAAAGGATGCCGTCTTCACCAGCCACATGGACCAGATGCTGCGCTCCACGGAGCTCAATCGGGATCTGAACCTAACGCTGAGCAACTACAGCGCCGCCGAGGAGCTAACACCGCTCATGGTGCTCGATCTGTTCGAGCAGATACCCCAAAGCGATGTGGCGCTGCTGGGCATGTGCTCGCGCGGCGCCCATCCGAAACATTTGATAGTCACGCGCGTCTTTGTGCCGCCCGCCTGCATACGGCCATCGGTGCTGTCGGAGGTGAAGGCCGGCACCACCGAGGATGATCTCACAATGAAGCAGAGCGAGATTCTATTGATTAACGATGTGATACAGCGTCACATGGCCACCGGCGGCAAGATCGAGCTCATACACGAGGACTGGGACTTTCTGCAGCTGCACGTGGCACTTTATTTTCACAGCGAGATCAGCGGCATACCCTTGAATATGGCGCCGAAGAAGACGACGCGCGGCATTGTGCAGCGTCTGAAGGGCAAACAGGGACGCTTCCGTGGCAATCTGTCCGGCAAGCGTGTGGACTTTAGCGGTCGCACTGTCATCTCACCGGATCCCAATCTGATGATCAATCAGGTGGGCGTGCCGGTGCGCGTGGCCAAGATACTCACGTATCCGGAGCGCGTGAATCCGGCCAATATACGGCAGATGAAGCAGCTGGTGCGCAACGGACCCAGCATGCATCCGGGCGCCAACTATGTGCAGCAGCGCGGCTCCAGTTTCAAGAAATACCTGGCCTATGGCAATCGTGAGAAAGTCGCCCAGGAGCTCAAGTGCGGCGACATTGTGGAGCGCCATCTGCGCGACGATGACATTGTGCTCTTCAATCGTCAGCCCTCGCTGCACAAGATGTCGATCATGTGCCATCGCGCCAAGGTGCAGCCGCAGCGCACGTTCCGTTTCAATGAGTGCGCCTGCACGCCCTACAATGCGGACTTCGATGGCGACGAGATGAATCTCCACCTGCCGCAAACGGAGGAGGCACGCGCCGAGGCCCTAATTCTAATGGGCAATCAATCGAATCTGGTGACGCCGAAAAACGGCGAGATTTTGATTGCGGCCACACAGGATTTCATAACGGGCGGCTATCTGCTCACCCAGAAGGAGGTGTTTCTCACCAAGGAGGAGGCCATGCAACTGGCCGCCTGCTTTCTGGCCAACGAGGATTCCACAATGCGCATCCAAATGCCGCCGCCGGCCATTTGGAAGCCGCGTCGCCTCTGGACGGGCAAACAACTGTTCAGCCTGCTGATGCGGCCCAACGATGACTCCAATGTGCGCCTCAACATGGTCAACAAGGGTCGCAACTATGCCGGCAACATGGATCTGTGCGCCAACGATTCCTGTGCGTATGCAGCTTCTATATATTTCGAATGTTTTTTCTAACTACCGTTCGTCTCTTTCAGGGATTCACATACGCAACTCGGAGCTGATGTGCGGCACCATGGACAAGGCGACCATGGGCTCCGGCACCAAGCAGTGCATCTTCTATCTGCTGTTGCGCGACTTTGGCGAGGCCTTTGCCACCAAAGCCATGTGGCGTCTGGCCAGGGTGCGTATGAATCTCACACCCACTCTCCCTATCTCTCTCTCTCTCACTCTCTCTTTCTTTCTCCCTTTGACCCATGTGATAAGAGCTTGTTAAAATTTCTTAAGGCCTTGCAGTGGGCCTTAGAAGACATTGGAGCTGCCTTTTATACACATTTTGCACAAAATCAACTACCGAGTCATTTTAGCCATGTCCGTTTGTCTGTTTGGCAAAGAAGAGGGCGCCTTTTTCTGCCTTCTCACCCCAATTTTCATGTTAAAGCGGCCAACAATTGGTTGAACATTTTGTTTATTAATTTATCACAACTAAACGAGGCAACTGCGCTCCTAAACAAGCTGTTAAAATAAAGGAGAGATTTTTTTAACAGCAGAGTACGCTGCATAAAGCTTCTTATCATAATTATATCGGGCATATATATGTATTTTATCAGGATATTATAGTAGGATATCATGTCGAGAGTCTTTGCCCGTGTCCACTTCTAAGGCTTACAGCATAGAATCACATAATAACTGTCTAGTCCATTTATGTCCGCTTATAATTCTCAAACAGTTTAGTCTGAACGGTTTCCTAATATCGAAAGCGCTTAATAAAGCGCAAATACGTTCGTTGTGTAAACTCGATAACACAGTTTCGATAACAAGTTTATTTAAGCCTTGGTTTAAAGCAGAGCAAATATAATCGAGTCAAAACAGGACGCAATCAAATAAGAAAACGATAACGATAACAAGGCGCTCATGAGAAGCAAGAGAATACGACAAAAGTGATATCGATATCGATAATTCAAATGTAAAGCTCGGATGAGGAAACGATAGCATTGGTATCGATAATCGTGGAATATCGATAGTATAAATGTAAGCCTCGGATAAAAACATGCTTGCTCAGCTAATCTTTCGATAAACGATAAAATTGCTATCGATCATCTTAGGCATCACAAGTCATTTGAAAAGAATTCAAAATTCTGCTTGTTATCAATTGATTAATCGCTATCGATTAATTGGGGAGCGAAAATTAAAAGCGATAACTTCATACGGCTTGCTGTCAATGACAGTCTAGCGTAAAGAATCGCCTGTTGCTGCTGAACTGACAACCGGAACTGGGCCCTTGGCGCAGTCGATGAGGATAACGATAACGATAACGATAACTCGATAAGAATAGAGACTTGAAGATAAAGCTCAATTGTTCTAGAATTCTTTGCCACAAGGCACGTAGAAACCATATATAATGGATGAGCCGTGGTGGGTAGTGGCAGTGCGAGGGGGCAGGCGGGGAGGGGTGGGGGTGGGGGGTCTCGTCTATCTTATCTGCGTTGGGGAATTCGTTTTTGGTTTATTCGAGTGGAACATTTGCGCTTTATTTGCGAAACAGAAGGAAATGGATCAAAAATAGAACAGAAGCAAAAACAATTTATCTCATGCAAGGAATCTTTAGCTTTAGCTGAGTGTCAGGCCCGTCGTCTCCGCGATATAGTCAAGGAACGAAGTGATGCGCACATAGCCCGACGGATAGCCGGCGGTGCACTGATCCTCGGCCACAAACGAATTGATGCCAATCTGTATCCAGGCGCCAAGATTGCTGTTGTACACGATGAGCGGTCCGCCGGAGTCGCCGCTGCAGGTGGACATGTTGCTGCCCGCATAGCCCTCCGCGCAGATGGTGGAGTCGAGCACAACGCCGGCGCCGAATATGGTCAGGCACTTGTCGTTGGCAATTATCTGCACCTGGGCGTACAGCAGCTGCTGCGAATAGTCCAGATACTCGTCATCGATCAGGCCGAAGCCCGCAATGGTCGCCTGGCTGCCCACATAGCTGTTGCCCGCCTGCGAGCTGGACACCAGCTGTATGGGCTGTACGCTGCTGGAGAAGATTAGCGGCTGGGGCAGCTGCACCAGGGCCACATCGTTGTTCATCTTGTCATTGTAATTGGGATGCACAAACAGCTCGGTGCCCGTCATATTTAGCGCCTGCTCCGCGTTCAGCTCGACGGTGCCAAAGACCAGATATAGCGAATCCCGGCCATAGGCACAATGGCCGGCTGTTAGCACCCAATTGCTCGAGATGATCGAGCCGCCGCACAGCAGATCGTCCCATTCGTCGCGCTTCAGTATCACCTGCCATGGAAACTGTCCGGCCGCTGCGCGCTGGCCCGAGATGATGCGTCCCTGCTGTAAATGGACGAATGCGTATCAATGTATTCGGTAATCCTCTAGAGCTTTGCACGGAATGGGGACAAATTAAGGGAACACCTACAATATCCAATTGTTCGGCTGCGGGCGCTGCCAGCGCCGGCAGCACCGACTCCAGCAGCAGCAGCGCCAGCATTGTGCACTCCACGCCGTTGCCCAATCCTTTCAAGCTGCGTTTAATCTTACGAAAAATTTTCATTTTTTTTTTTGTTTATTTTTTTCTCTGCACGCGTTTGTTGCTCGGCTTCGTCTGCGCCGCTTTGCTTTGATTTTCGCAATTATATGCTGCCTGCATGCATGCCCACTCTGCTCCTCCACCCGCCCCCCCCCTCCTCTTCTCGCCCCGCGCCCCCCTCTAGCACCCACCGCTCTCTTCCACCCGATGATCACCTGCTTTCTGTACAATTTGTTATTAACACGGCCCGTCGTGTTCTTGTTATTTGGCCAGCTCGCGTCTCGCAGCTCGATAAGATTAATTACTCACACGCCAATTCTGTCCCACTGTCTCTGCCGACGTCGCTGTCAGCTGCTTAAACTCACTCTGCCCTCTGCTCTTCTCTTTCCTCTCTCCCTCTCTCCCTCTCTCTTGGCAATTCCTTTTGTCCAACCTGGTTAGCTCTTATCATTGATAACGCGATGCGCCTGCTCTGCTACACTAAACAACAAAATTCAGCTGCATTTTTGTTGCCTCTTTGATCTGCTCTTTGAATAAAAGTTATTTCCTTGAATATATATTAATGAATATATATTTTTGTTGCATATATAAAAAGATACTATGGAATCCCTCATAACTTCTCTCTTCCTCCCTGATCAAGGTTCGTATCCAGAGTCGTGTCAGAATAATACTCTATTATCACTAGGGAATAGCTATATTTATTTATATTATGTTTTTATCACATCCCAAACGCACTTGTCTGGGATTCGAACCTGGGTCCAATCTTGTTCAGCTGCCTAAACGATCTACTTAAGCGTACGGCATATATTCCAACTCTCGCTAAAGGGCACTGCGAAAATACGAACGAAACGTTTACGAATGCCGCGCAAAGCAGAAACGAAATAGTTACTGGCGAGCGCGTGAATGCTTTAGAGCGAGAGCTGAAAAATCAAAATATGATTTTGCGCAAATTCCTTTGTAGCCCCAATTTCGCAGTCGAGTGTAATTTAATTAGCTCACCTGCCTGTCGCTTGTTCCAAACAATTAAATGCCATACAACGAATTATTTACGTGCTAAACACCAGCTCCTCGCGCACCCACAACCCGTGTAGGGCCACTGTGCGGGGGTTTATCAGAATCTGGCGATGACTTTCGCCAGAATTGTTGCTGGCGTTAACCATGACGTGACTTAACGGCCTTGTTATTGGGCTTTAATTTGAACAAGTACTGGGAATTCACCAAAGACTATTAACTATAAATAACTCTATTGTTATTTTGTGTGCTTGCAGATCGCCTCGTATTTTATACAGAATCGCGGTTTCTCCTTTGGCATCAGCGATGTGACGCCCAGCGAGAAGCTGCTGCACCACAAGCAGATCCTTTTGGAGCGCGGCTATGCCAAGTGCAACGACTACATCGAAAAACTGAAGGCGGGCACCCTCCAGTGCCAGCCGGGCTGCACGCCCGCTGAGACTCTCGAGGCGGTTATGTTGCGCGAACTGTCCGGCATACGTGAGCAGGCGGCCAAGACCTGCTTTGCCGAACTGCATCCGACGAATAGTGCTCTGATCATGGCGCTGAGTGGCTCCAAGGGCTCCAACATTAACATCTCCCAGATGATCGCATGTGTCGGCCAGCAGGCTATCAGTGGCAAGCGTGTGCCCAATGGCTTTGAGAATCGCGCTCTGCCGCACTTCGATAGACACTGTAAGTACAACTCGCTGTAAGTTACTCGTTACTTTTTACTTGTCCCCTGCTACTTCTGCTTTCGTCGTCTCTATGATGTAACCTCTCTCCTTTAGCTAGCTATTGATCCTATATAACTTGTTACTTATCACTCGTTTCTTTTGTCTTGTAGCTACTTATCGTCACTCGTCACTTTTCCCAAGTTACTCGTCACTCGTTATATCTAACTTGTAATTCGTTGCATGTCTCGTTGCACTTAAAACTTTATTCACATACCATTCGACACTCGTTATATTGAGTTTTTATTCGTCACTCGTTATTGATCAGTCGACTACTCGTCGCCATTTGATTTGTTGCAGCTGCCATACCCGCCGCTCGTGGCTTCGTGCAGAACAGCTTCTACTCGGGATTAACGCCCACCGAGTTCTTCTTTCACACAATGGCTGGACGCGAGGGTCTCGTTGATACGGCTGTGAAAACCGCAGAGACGGGCTATTTGCAGCGTCGCCTGGTCAAGTGTCTGGAGGATCTGGTGGTGCACTACGATGGCACCGTACGTAACGCCATCAATGAAATGGTCGACACCATTTACGGCGGCGACGGACTCGATCCCGTTTCGATGGAGACGCGCAACAAGCCCGTCGATCTGAACCATCAATACGATAATCTGCGCGCCCAGCTACCCTGCGTCGAGCAGCAGCAGCCACTGGAAGCCGACGAGATTCTAGGCGTGGCGGAAACGCTGCTCAAGCTGCCGGAGTTCGCGGAGGCGCGTCTCGATTTTAAGCTGGACATAACGTAAGTCAGCTGCGAGATAGATAGATCGTTGAGATTTGTGTGTGAACTCTTCTCTGTTTCCACAGCGCGCACCTGAAGAACATAGCAAAGCGAATTGGACAGCTGCAGCAGCAGTACGGATCAAAGCACAGATCGCTGTGCAACCAGATCGAATGCCTCAGCCGGGAACAGCTGCTGGAGTTTCTGCGCCGGATCAATGATCGCTACAATCGGGCCGTCAGCGAGCCGGGCACTGCGGTTGGCGCCATTGCGGCTCAGAGCATTGGCGAGCCGGGCACACAGATGACCCTGAAGACGTTCCATTTCGCTGGCGTTGCCTCGATGAACATAACACAGGGCGTGCCGCGCATTGTGGAGATCATCAATGCGACCAAGACGATCTCGACGCCAATAATTACAGCCGAGCTGCGCAACAATACGAGCATGGAGTTCGCGCGCCAGGTGAAGGCGCGCATCGAGAAGACAACGCTGGGTGAACTCTCCTCCTATGTGGAGCTGGTGTGCGGACCACAAAGCTGCCACCTGGTCATTGGCATCGATGCGGCGCGCATCAAGGTGCTCGGCCTGCACATCGATCTGGATAGCATCATGTGCAGCATTCTGAAGTCGCGGCTGCGCATCAAGCCCGGCCAGCTGCACGCCGTGCCCAAGAAGTCGCGCATCATGGTGCGCGTCGAGGCGACACGCAATGCCACCATCAATGCGGAACTGGCCCGTCTGGCGACCACCATACAGAACGTGGTCGTTGCCGGCCTGCCCAACATAGCGCGTGCCGTCATTGCCGTGGACGATGCCCATCAGCCGCCCACCTATAAGCTGTGCATCGAGGGCTACGGCCTGCGCGAGGTGATCGCCACATATGGCGTTGTGGGCGAACGGACGCGCAGCAACAATATCTGTGAGATCTATCAGACGCTGGGCATTGAGGCGGCGCGCACAATCATCATGAGCGAGATCACCGATGTGATGGAGGGTCACGGCATGAGCGTCGATTGGCGGCACATCATGCTGCTGGCCAGCCAGATGACCGCACGCGGCGAGGTGCTGGGCATCACGCGACACGGCCTGGCCAAGATGCGCGAGAGTGTCTTCAACTTGGCATCGGTAAGATGGAATCTCTGCCTGCTTTTCCATAGTTATTCACATGCGTTTCTCTCGTTGCCAGTTTGAGAAGACGGCGGATCATCTGTTCGACGCCGCCTACTATGGCCAGACGGATGCCATCAATGGCGTCTCGGAGCGCATCATCTTGGGCATGCCGGCGGGCATTGGCACCGGCATCTTTAAGCTGCTGCAGCTGCACGAGGACAAGCAGGTGCCGCCAATTGAGCCGACCATCTTTCATCAGCTGGGTCTGCATCCGTTTGCCTAGCCTGCACGCAGCCTGCCCGCCCGCCATCATCTACTCAGTTCCTGTGAAATGCCAGCTAGTTAGTCCTTAGTCCTTAGTCAATCTAGTTGGGATGTGTCGCCATGTTCCCAGTTTTAAGTTAATTCCCGTCGCTACGCTGACCTCCAACAATTACCAAGCGTTATTCTTAAATAAAGTTGACGATAATCTGTTTAAATATTAGATTTAATATATTTTTTAGTCTTACGTTACATTTACATTAAGGAAAAACCCAAGGATTAGCTGTCCGTATCTAATGTACTTTAGATCTTAAAGCTTTTCTCTCTCTCTCTCTCTCTCTCTCTCTCTCTCTCTCTCTCTCTCTTTATAGCTAATGATAAAACAATGCGATGAATTGATGAGAATTTTAAAAACGTGGATAACTTCGTCTCTTTCAAGTTTGGCTTAGAGATCTGGTACATTAATCAGGATTGTCATGTGCAGCAAAATGTTTCTAAGTTAGCCATATGATATAGATTACTATACGTTACGGAAGACTCTGATAGATTTACTGTCTGTGAGAAAAGTCGGTAAGTTTTCAAGAGAACAGCTTCAAAATTGAGCGACCTATTTGCCACGGGAAAGACTTTCGAATTGACTGATCAAGAATATATTTATATATATATATCTATCTAGCTATTATCAGCTGCTCAATCGAAACTCTTTCTAGTTTATATAATGAAAAACCAAATTTAGGAAATAGCTTTAAGCGTATAATTAAGTCTGGAAACTAACAGCTTAAAGAACTACCAAATCAATCTGTAATCCTTAAAATCTGAAATTCTTTTCCGATTAATCTTCGTGCGACTTTTAAGTAATTAAAAATAGGTATGCCAAAAAATCTGCTGCTGAAAAATAGAATATAATTATAAAGGATTCCATATTTACACGAACTGTAAAATAGTATACAAGAATAATGTTGCCATGTACATATGTGTGTATGTATGTATGTATGTATGTATGCAATTGTGTATGTATGTATGTGTGTATGTAAATTGTCTTATGAAATACCAATAGCACAACAATTTGTCTTGCTGCGCGGCCAATTTATATAAGAAAGACGTATTTATTGAAGCTGCCCTCCTCCTCGATTCTCAAAAATTTAAGTAAGGCTCGCAAGTTTCACCCTTGAGTTAGGCGCAGGCGGCTTCAACGCTGGAAGCAGAGGAGCCGGAGGAGCACCAAGGGGGCGGAGCAGGAGGCGTGGGCATGTAGGTATGTATG